TTGTTGGGTTCTGCGCGCCTACAACCCCATATCAAGGACCTGTGCTCTTTGTTCTCGTGCATCAACTATTAATGCATCACTGGTGGAGACGGCCCATTAACTGGGCGCCATTATTCAGAAACTAGCCAACTTGTGTCCGTGGACTGCCATCGTGTTGTTCCCTTCTCGCAATGGCGGTTTCTCGGTGTAGGGGAGTTTGCATCTGTGGGCATCGGCGCCAGCGAAGATAAAGTATACTTAAAGGCCATCTGGAGGGTCACTCTCAGTGCACATCGACAACAATACTAAGACTCATCTCATACTAATCTCAACTTTCTGAGCACTCCTTAAATCCCTCTGTATGGCTGGACCTGCACAATTTCCCTGTCAACCCCTACCGTCGTTTCGGTATCTGTCTCGTTGCAACTGTCCCATGAACCCTACTGATATCTTATGTCACGAATCCAGGTATACAAACGAGCCGCCTGCGCTCTATCAGCAGTCACGCCAGGAGCATGCTCAGTGGCCTCCCAGGCCCACCGAGCGTGATACCTACGACCGTGTCCCCAAGGTCCATGGACCTCGATATCCCTCGTCGACATACGACCCAGGAGACACCCACTGCCAATTGCCACAGCGAACCATCTCTTTCATTGGCCCAAATGGGCAGTACCCAGTCCCGGCCTGTGAGGACCATACGGCATGTTCTGCTCCATATGAGAACCTGTACAACCCAGAATACAAGCCGTTGCCGAACACAGCTACTTCGCCACAGCACGATCTTGCACAACCATTTATTCCCTCGTCCCCTCGTCCTCCTACCCAAGATCCTCGCCACACCCCGTCTATTGTTGAGCAGCACCCTGCACATCAACCAGCTTCCCTGCCTCAACCAGCTTCCATGTACTCCTTTACTTCACCATACCATATGACAAACCAACATAGCTATCAAAGAGCCAATCATCGTTCCGCCGAGGCAGAGCTAACAGAATCAGCGAGAGCAAACGCTGCTTCACGGTCGGCCAGCAGGTTATCATCGGCGGTCGAAGAGACCTTCACGAACGGCGCAGCCCCAGTCCCGGCAGCCCAAGGACTTCCTCGTGACCGATCGCCACCCCCTCGCCCAACGGTGCCTCCATGGGGGGTCGTTGGTGAACGCAACGTCCTTGGCTCGCACGACGGGGATGTTGTAGAGACCGTTGTCATCAACGGCGTCCCCGTTTCAGCCTTCAGACGCAGCCCCAAGCACGCTGATACAATGGATAGTCTATCGAGCGGGACTAGCACGCTATCGAATATGGTATTGTTGGAGCTACCAACAGTTAATCCATCGGACTCACCGGAGCAGCGGAAGGCACGCGAAGAGATCAGGGCATATTTGAGGTCTGCGAATACTCCCACGCACGTAGCCAGTCACGAAACCGTCGGGATGGAAGAGCCCAAAAGGAAGGAACCTAAGGGCAAGGAACGCGCGCGAGATGAGCCGATCGCAGAGCAGTCCTCGGCACCGTCGCTCTCAGCACCTGAATTTCAGCGTCAGAACGACACCGAAGACCCTGCATATGCGTCCTCTAGCACAATGAGATTCTATGTACGCAAGACAGGGCCGACTACCAGGGGCATCATAATCAACGTTCCACCTATGATAGCCGCCTCCTCGGCCGACTCGCTTCATCCGTTTTCCCCAAAGCAGTCGCAGACGCCACAACAGCCTGACACTCCCTCTGTACCCCCTACAGCACGCACACCAAAGGAAACACAAAATGAGTCTTCAGTACACTATTGTCCCCAGGCACCGAACTTGATGCCCAAGTCACCACCCCCAACCCAGGCAGAAGCACATGCCCGACGCCGGACACAGACCCAATCGACTCAATACCTAACCCCCCCAGAAACTCCCCACCGTACTCCTCGTTCCGGATCCCAGGCTTCATTGTTGTTGCGTAGATCTGACGAGGATCTACCTGCTGCACCCGAGGAGCACGTGCAAACGGTCGCACAGGAGGCAAACGAGAGTAGGGAAAGTGTGGAGGCGGATGAATTCGAGGCAGACCTGCGTTATAACCTGGGTGTGCTCGCTCGCCAGTGCCTCCGAGAAGCAGAGACCATGAACACGGTGAGTACGACCTCTACTTATTCCTCCCCATCGTGCCTGACAGGCTCTCCACCAGGCTTTCGCCAGATGCAACACGCTATCCTCCGAGGCATTGAACAGTGCTAGATCGGCTCATACATCGTTGTCTATGGCATTGACTGCGACGCTCGGTCCACTGGATCGTGAAGTCGACACGAACATAGACTTGACGGATAACCACCAGCTTTCTTGGCGTGATCGCTACGAGGGGACGGTTGCCTCTATGCACCGGTAAGCTAATATGTTCTCCGCCTATAGCTACATGGCCTGGCTGACATTTTGTATCCAGAGCGATGAACAGAGTCTTGGGCCTTCTAAACGGGTTCCCTCGTGGCGACCGAATTCGAAGGTACCTTGCGAGTGTCTCCTCAGTCGCGGAGCGTCTCAACTATCTTACGCGAAAGCTAGAGGTTAGTGACCCTCTTCTCACCGTGACCCCGCATCTCACCTTCCTCGCACCATCTAGGACTCTATAGATCGTATTACCTATATTCGCTTGGCCTCTCAGCTCAAAGCCAAGAGTACTGCCTTCCGGAAAGCCAATATAACCGAAGAAGCACGACGCGAGACCTTTCAAGCATTTTCAGACAGGAAAAAGATGGATATAGAAGGTATTCGTCAGCGGATGAATCAACTGGAAGGACAGAGGCGTGCTCCGCGGTCGGATCCAAGTTCTGAGGAGAGCGGGTTGGAGAGTACCGAGGATTGAATGAAAGGTGACGGCGACAATGGAGATGGAGACGGACTCCCTATTTTTTCCCTTTATGATTCCTGGACGTTTTTCACGAGATTGAACTGACCTGTGATACTGTACAATGCTGATAACCTGCTGGACGTGGGTGTAGGCGAACTTCCCGACTTTGATATAATGTAGCAACTGACGACCTGTCACGTGTATTGTTGTACGATCATAATGTGACGCCAACTGGCGTATGAATATACTCGTGACTCACTGACACGTCTTCGGCCTGTAACGTGTATTCTTGTAGGAGTGCACTGAAGAAATTGTAATGTTCCTGTACATGTCTAGCCTGCAGTGTCTGATTCGTACTCGGGTCTTGATGGATATTCCGATGCGTTTACCAGTGGTTGTTCCAAGCTTCGTGGATGCCGATCATGTCACTTGGTGTACTAGTCATCAAGGCAAGCTTCACTGCAAGAAGGTCGTCGTTGCAGGGGCTTTGTTGTGTAACTAGCGTCGAATGTTTGCAATCGGGGTCAGACCATTACATCTAAGTATATGATGCTCGCGAGTTGAAGCAAAGACAACTGAAAATATTTATGCATAGAGAATTCGAAAATCATCAGAATTTGAATTACCATCATAACTCCTATGGGAATCTGGAGGGATTGCCAGATGATTGATATTCGCCAACAGAAGCAACCATGAGCCAACGTAATTATTATTCAATGAGCAAAGCGACGGGCCAACAGCTTCGTTTGCCACTCACCAAGTCCAGTTATTGGTCCCAGCGCGAGGAATGATCAGAGACTCGGAAATGTGTATACCATCATATTCATCAAAAGTTGAGGTTACCCAGAATCCATGGAATGTAAATATGGTCATCAATGTTTCGAGTAAAAGGACGACGATTACTGAAAAAGACAATCTGATCAGTCTCTAAGTCCATGATAGATAGCAGTAGTTACCTAAGGCCTTCACGCATTTTCTGTCATCCGCAAATCTGGTAAAATAGACAACTGAAGAATATGTGAGTCCATTACGCATACCTCCTGAGAAGGAAAAGTCCTCACAGCTTGGACAGCGAGAGCTCCCATCAGGCCGAAGCAGAGTGTACCCGATAACCTGCAGACAGTAAGTGTGGAGAATGAAAATGACGAAGATATGCGCGCACGAAAGGTCCCTTTCTGTTATTTTCCAGATGTGAGATACGCAGGTTTCGATGAATGATTTACTCACTCTGTGGCTCCATAATCGGGGCCGCTGAGCGGGTGTTACTTTGGTTGTGACAGGCAGCAGGTGAAATGGCTTACGGTGGCAAGAGCATTCTGGAAGTCAATGCAGTCTCGTCCATGATATGATTATCGTACCTGAGTCAAACTTCTTATACGCGCGCAAAGCTCAGCACGTGGATGAGTCCTAGACACAGGAATCTCCATTGTAGGTGGGCATCATCTTTGGGTGCTGTATCGCCTACAGATTAATCGCACCAGTGTCAAGAATGCGGTACAGATCTCTGTACTCGAAAGCTGGTGGCTCTCAGAATGTTACAAACACCCTTCTTTGAGGCAGCGGCAATCGCTGATGACATAGATAGCTCACGTCAGTGGCAAAAATGCACCTGACCATGGGACATCGAATCGCGCTCTCCACCATGCTCCTTCCGGTTTCTCGAAGTCCAAAGCTCCGACTTGACGCTCCAGCAAGGTGATGCAGAAAACTATACCATGTAGGGCTATTGGTCACCAGTCGATTAAAAGTACATGACTCGGATGCCTGGCCATGGTACTTACTTATGGGCTTAAGCTTGATGTTGAAGCTTGATGCAGATGTATGATGGATCATGAAGCTGTCCGGTCACGGTGTCGTTGTGCGAAAGTACGGTATGCCACAGGGCCGTTAAGCCTGTGCACTGTGGAAAAGGTGGTGAGAGGACCCGGGTAAAACTTGGGCGTAGACGGAAAAGGGGCCCAAGGTTGAAACGAGGGCCATTGTTGGCTGATCTGAATCAGATCCTGGATGCTGATACAGTAGGCTTATGCTACTTAGCGACGTTAGATCCTCAATGCGAACCAACCTCGTGCCAGTGCTTGGTGAAAACACTGCGGATTGCAACAACGGTCATCTGTGGTCAGTGGTTATGACAGACGACATCGTTCTTGGTGAAAACTGGTCGTAGGAACTGCCACTACTCCATGCAACAACGGTCGTATAGTGTAGTGGTTATCACTCGGGATTTTGAAAGATGTGGAGTTTCAATTCGCATCGAAAGTTCCCGAAACCCAGGTTCGAACCCTGGTACGACCTCATCTTTTTTGCTGACTCTTCTTCGCCTTTTGCACTGGAGCTATGATATCTCTTCCGATTCAGACCGCATCGGAGTCTCGGAGAAGGTAACTTGTTTCCGGACGTAATATCATTTGGTCGCCGAATGATAGATATCCTTGACGTACGCTCTCCTTTCCGCGTATGAATATATGGCGAGAGCTTATGTTGAAATTTCCGTCTCAACTTCCTTTCTTCCTGTCACAGTCACTCGCTTCCTAGTTCTTGCCGTCGCGTCGTCGTGCAAGTTGCATGTCTCTCTTCCTTGTCACAGAAGTTTCTAACAAGGTATGTCAGTGGTCCCAATTGCAAAGCCTGTCTGAGGACATTTAACGGAACTTTGAGTTCGCCAGTGTAACTTTAGAGCGTGGGCGGCGTTTGATGTCACAGAGAGCCGACTTGATGCAGCCTCGGCTTATCACTGAGTCTGAAGACGTCGAGATTCGATTGAACTCATGGAAGGCATCCCGCTACTGAATTATGGTTCGTGCTGTTCCCGAGTTGGAGTATTCCGCCTCGTCACGCCGCTTTTACATCGCCATCATTACAACGGTCTTTCTGATATATTTCTAGTCAGTTTTGTTCGGAGATTTGGGGTATCCGTTCGAACTTCATTATTGTTTTGCCCACATACTGGTCCGTACGTTCTCGCTGCATGAACCCATCATTATCCTTTGGTTAGGATCAACCACCAAAATATCGCTGCTGTTGTGAAGACCTGACACGAGAATTGTTGCCGATGCCAACGAGCGCATGTTCGCTGTGTCCTGTGTCGGAGCAGTCTGTGCAAGTTCAAAACTTGCACAAACCGCTCCGAAACAAAGCTACTCCGCTGGATAACGTCCCTTGTTAGACATTCAACGTTGCCCCTCTTCACCCCACACTGTTCAATCACACCGTTGTCGAACAATGTCTCGCTCTCCAGTGGCTGACCGACTTTCCGTTACATCAATTATTTGGTTAGGTCTGTCCACGATTTTGGTTGTCCACCGGGTATATTTGCTGAGTCCAGCCAGAATCGGAGAATACACTTACCATCACCGTTCGTCCCTCACCTTCCAATTCACAAGGTCATTGTTTCGTATCATCTTACCGTAACCCCCAGCAGTTGTCCGGGTAGCCATTGCGCCGGTTGCGCCGAAGCGAAGAGATTCATTTCTCCGATGTCCTCGTCTATCTCAAGATTGTGGACTTGATTTCAGGTAATGCTGTGTATATCTTGCGTTAGGCCCGCAGCATCTGACCTTCCATTCGTGCAATGCTGTAAAATCACAAGCCTGTTTCGTCGAACTCACCAGAGCTACCAATGCTTTATCAAGCCCTGAAAACACGCTCACACGACAAGCTGCCGCACGAGCTTCAAACAAGGCACGGTACCTCAAGCAAAGAGAGTTAAAGTAGCTCTCGTGATTCACCTGGCAGCGACACAGTGTGGAGCCTGAGTGTAAGGATAAAATGAGCGACAGTCAGCAGACCGCGGGTTGCACGCGTTCTAACCACATGAAAACATTGTACAGTTTATACTCCTGTGTGACTGAGGACTCGGCTCCTCGATTTCCAATTGCCCGTCGGTCAGCGTAGTTTACCCCACAACAGACCATTCTGATACAAATATTGTCGGTTACGCCCGCTCTGCTCTGGATATTATGGGAGGATTCCTCACGGCGCTTTCTGACTGCGGTGGATTGCAAGCATTCACCTGAGTTGCTAAATCCACCTGCCGAATCCATCCACCGAATCCACCCGCCGAATCCACCCGCCGCGGCCCTCCCTGTTCCATCATCAACTGGTTCTCCAGCCATCTCCTGCACTGGCAGTGTCGGCGTCGTTGCAGCCGTTCACTAGTTCATGCCCAGCGAACATATTTAAGAAACCTCCAATTTACCTATAACAAGACGAGTTTCGATATAAGACTGGGTGCAACACGCTGAGGCAAGCAAGAAACAACGCTCTCGCACGAGTTTAGTAATACTTCGATAACGGGCGAGGCCTAAGGTTATATTACCTAGCGTCTAACAGTGCACTGAGCGTACGTGTTCCTCTCACATTACCTTCACATCCTCCTGCGTCGTGGTCGCTCCTGTTGCTCATCTCCGCCGTTCAGTTCCGTCCAGCTGCTGTCATCAATAAGTATACTACAACCAGGGTTCCCCACCGATCCAAAGCCAGTATTCTAGTGGCCTCAAGGTACGCCGCCAAAGAGCTAAATTCAGAACTGCCGTGCCTCACAACTTGGTGGACTCATCCATACAATCACAGCATTCACACCAATTCCGGCTAGGACAAGACAGCCTGCTATACTCGGTGACTTGCCAGTCTACTCACGGCTTCCCGGATCAACACAGAACGCAGAATCCTCAAGGCGAAAGGAGGCAACGTGGCCTGTTCCCTGCGATATTTTGCGACTTTCAGTAAAAGGCCCAGATTGTAGTGCCTAGCATTCTCGATCAAAGGCGGTCTACCGGCGGGATACACGGACGAATTGAAGGACTGACGAATCGCGACCGGCGAACGTTCGACCAGTCAATTTGATCGAGGATCAAGGGTTTCCTTTCGGAGGCGCTCCAGAGGTGTTTCTGGAACGACCTCTCGCGATAAGCCACACGATCAACATCTGATAAGCACTCTGATTTATTAGAGAAATGTCAGACGTGCGACGAGATGATGAGCCTGAGGAGGGCAGACCAACAACGGACCCAGACCTGGGTTCTGGCGGAGATTTAGGCCGGGGGTGCCGTGACGAGCCGGGCACGAGGATCGGGGACGGCGAAGGGGAGGATGAGGCGTGTCGTGAAAAGGACCGAGAGGCAGTGTTTTCGGGTGAAGAGTGCGATGGCTCGACGGGTGAGAAGAAAGGAGAGAGCCAAAGTTTGGTTTCCTGCGAATCAGAGGCAGAGAAAAAGGAAGAGAAGGGAAAGCGGCGAAGTGGAGGAGGAGCGGCGTCTAATGAGGCTGATGAGCTCCGTGAAGAGCCGTTACCTCGTTCTGACCGCGTGGGGATAGTGTGTGCACCTCAAAATTACAAACGCCCTCGCTCCTTGCTGGATCTGAAGAACGCAGCTGCAGAACCAACTGGTCGTAATAGTAGCAGTGGCAGTACCAACGACAGTTGCTGCAGTAACCGGAGAAGTAGTAATAACGGTAGTACTACCACTACTCCGCCAGCCATCCCTCCGCGTTCACCACTCCGCCCACGCCATCAGTCCTCCAAGGAAACTCCACCTGGACCCAGCCCTCAAGGCACATCCTTCGATACCACCATCACTACCAGTGCTGCTTCTGACATCGACACCCTCGGCGACGACAAAGAAGCCATTCGAATGGCCCACACTTCGATGCCCATGCTCCGGGCGAGCTTCGGAGTGTCTTTGACTGCCCTACTCGCAACCTTAGAGGCTGAGACCCTCCAAGACAAAGATTTGCCTTTACCACCCGACCACGAAGACGAGCTCACCATCGGCTACAACGACGAGACTGAAGAAGAGGAGGATTCTGATCCAGACGCATCCCAACCCTCATCCACCGAAAGCCTCGCTCTCGAGTTGGGCATTCCTCCTAGCCTGGGCACTTCTGCGGTTACAGACGCTGCAACATCGAATCAACCGACTGTCATGACAAAGAGGATGCATGCGCTACTCGAGCTGCTCACTTCAGAACGCGCATACGCCTCTGATCTCGCTTTGATCCGCGATATACATATCCCACTCGCTCTGGGCAAGTCGCCTCATATGTGGTGACCTTTGTTGGTTTTCCTAACGTGTTCTTTATTGCAGGTCAACCAGCTCCTTTCAATACGACCAGTCCACCTAGTCCACCACCGTTCTCGCCCGGCTCCGGGTCAGGGTCGTCATCACGCACAGTTTCGACCGCTTCAGATTCTTCTACAACATCCTCACAGCTTGGTCCTCCAATGACCCGCGACGACGTACGGATCATATTTGGGAACATCAACGACCTCGCTCTCTTTTCGGACCAGTTCGTTGAGCGTTTGGAAGAAGCATTGGGTGGTGTACTGGAAGGTGGGAGTGGTGAAGACAGTGTCGGGGCGCTATTCCTCGAGCTCGTGCGTCGCATGCACATTATCATTATCTATCATCGCTCACTTGAACATCTCGCGTGTTTTTTCTTGCAGATCCCAGCCCTTGAACCGCCTTACAAAACATACATAACTCGTCACCCAACTGCGCTCGCCCATCTCAACGCCCTCCCACCCTCTCCAGGGCTCTCGGGCTATCTCTCACAAACCCGAACCCTCGCTTCCTCGCTTACACACGCATGGGATCTTGCTTCTCTCCTTATAAAACCAGTGCAGCGTCTCCTCAAATATTCCCTTCTCCTCGGCGCTATCATCGACGCCACGCCCGACTCCCACGGAGACCGCGCAGCGCTTGTCAAAGCACGCCAAAAGATGGAGGAGGTGGCTCGAAGTGTGAACGAAGACCGTCGACGATGGGAAGTCGTGCGTGAGGTCTTGGGCGGTGCCCCCATCCCCAACGCCAATGGAACCGGAAAACCAAAGAAAGGCAGCAGCACTGTCAATGTCGGTGTCAGCGTTGCGGCTTCTGCGCATGTTAGCCGGATGAGGTCTCTCCGAGGGCCTAGGATCAAGGATCTTGCGGAGAATGGACCTGATAACGCAGAAGCTGTTGAGGTTGCGCGGTTAGAAGGCGAGCTGCAAAAGTATTCTGCTTTCCTCGATAAGCTCGCCAAGGATGTGAGAGATTGGAGGAACGCGATGCACACTTCGTTCGTTGGACTTCGTCAATGGGGCATCACCTTTGGTACAGTTCTCGGACTCACTCCATCACCCGACCTTCCATCTGGGGATCCGGATGAAGTAGACCCCGAAATGCGCTCAGAAGCTTACGACGCATTCACTTTACTCCTCTCCACCCTCCCAGAACTCTCCACGGCGCTCGACAAGAATCTCCAACTCGTATTCGTCCCTATCCTCTGCGACCTCAAAGCAATGATCGAACCAC